GTATATGGCAGGGTATCAAGATGGATCTGTTCGAATATGGGATGCTACATTTCCAACCCTTTCACTTATTTTTGCTTTAGAAGGCAAGGTCAGACTCTCAGTGCCAATTTTTCATGAGTAATCTCTTTGTAATGCATTAGAGGATGTAACTCCTTTTCATTTTTGTAAATTGAATACCACAGAACCAAGTAAAAATCTGTTTCAGGTAGAAACGATTGAAGTGCCTGGTGTCAGTGCTTCAGTATCGGCAGTAGACTTTTGCCCTCTTACAACAAGTTTGGCTGTTGGCAATGAGTGTGGACTGGTCAGAATGATTATTATTTGTTATTTTTATCTTTAATTAAAACTTTATGCTTTAAATTCGTTAATACTCCTTTTTCTTTCGTAGGTTCGTGTTTACAAGCTCAGTCAGAGTCTGGGTGAGACAGACTTACACTTTGTGACGGAAACAAAACATGAAGGTAGAATTTAAAAATTCCTGATCATAATTAAATCAGTAGAGTGTAGGCCATTCATGTCTCAGAACTCTTGGTATGCTCTGAAACTATATTGCCTGTCCCCATCCCAGAAGGTTGCATCAATTTGGCAGTCAGTAATACATTCACAGCTTCTATCATTTTTTATTTTTCTTTTAATTTATGGGTTTTGTAATCAAATTTGCATTCCTTATCCATTTGGGACAACATTCACCATCGTGGTTCAGTGTGGAATAGATTCTCTGTTATATGATGAAATATTTTGCAACTTGTTCCACAGTTTATCAAATTCATCAAGGAAAAGGACTTCAATGTAGGGCTATATTTTCGGTCCTAAGCTCTCCGGTTCAAATCCTGCAATATGCAAACAATGGAGCTAAGCTTGCTGTAGGGTTTGGATGTGGTAGGGTGAGTTATATCTCTGTAGTGATTTGCTTCATATGTTTATCTTTTATTTTGTTTAGTATTGGTAATAAATTGATATTTTGATTAATATACAGATTCACTTTTCTTCCCCTTTTTTCAGGTTGGAATGCTTGACATGAGTTCGTTATCAGTTTTATTTCTTACAGACTCAATTTCCATGTCAAGTTCCCCAGTCATTTCTCTGATTGAGAAAGCTTCTTTGGATATCTATAACATAATAAACATTCCAAACCAGGAATCCATGAATCCAAAGGACCCTGCAGATATTTTGTTTGTTTTAACTCGGGATTCAAATCTGATTATTGTGGATAGTGGGACCGGTGATCTGATTGGCTCCAGACAAATGCATCAAAAAAAGGAGTCAACTGCTGTTGCCATGTATATTATAGGCAAGTCATTCCATCCACAATATTTCTTTGTTTAAGTTGCAATATCATTCTGCCTGAAAAGCTTCCATACACCAGAGAGCAGCATTTTGGTCTCTGAAACAGTGAAAGGAAAAAACCCAGAGCAGCTGTCCCAGAACAGTTTAACTCCAAATGAGCCTATACAAGCAAATCTGAGTGGAGATACACCACATGAAGCTGACCTAAACACCTCTAGGGAAAATATAACTTCTGGGGAGTGCTCACTGGATTCACTTATTTTGGTTTGTTGCAACGATGCATTGAGCTTATTCTCTTTAAAATCTGTGCTAAAGGTGATTTTGTTAAACATTCCTTTCTCAGTTATTTTGCTTTTTCACAATATTGTCTTTCAAGTTTGTGGATATTTCTGCAGGGGGGCTATAATTCCATTTGTAAAGTGAGTCTTGCAAAACCATGTTGTTGGACTACAGCATTTAAAAGTAAAGATGAGAAAGTGTGTGGACTAGCTTTACTTTACCAGTCTGGAGTGGTTGAAATAAGGTAAACACCCAAGTTTACCGATTTCTTATTTTCTCATAATAACTTTTTTTTTTTTTTTTGGTAAACATAGAGAAAAAATGGTCAGATGACTCTAAATGATTTACTTACGGGGCACGAAATTTTAATTTGTTTGGTACATGTCAAAAACTTCTGCTCTTTCTTACGTGTTAGGTCATTCCCGGATTTGGAAGTTGTGAGAGAAAGCTCTATAATGTCAATTTTAAGGTGGAGCTTCAAGGCTGATACAGACAGAACAATATGTTCTTCTGACACTGGGCAGATTTCTCTGGTACAATCCTTCTTGCTTTTTACAATGGTTCAGTAGTTGCTGTTGGTTCTTTTTCTTTTGAATATAGATAAGAGACCTTCGTTTGAAGAACCAGCAATTAGGATAAGCAGTAGGCAGGAAAGCCATTGAAGGAACAACGAAAAAAGCCACACCATTTAAACATTTGGGTCTATTAGAAATACCAAGCACATGGGAGTTTGTAATGTCCAGCTCACCCCAGTTTTCGGATAAATGAAATATTTGGATGAACATTTAAGTTCTCAACAAAACGTTCATTCATCCAAAAACCAGGCATGAGCAGGTTCGACACACACATGTCCAGATATTGTGAAACCGTGACTTCAAAGCAAAAGGATTACTAATATTATGAGTTTATAACTACTGTAAGGATTACTAATATTATGAGTTTATAACTACTGTAAGGATATCTGTCATGCCTGATTGCAAAATAACTGAAAATACACCTGAATTTGAACTTCTTTGTTTGAGGAAATTTCAGTAATTTTGAAACCATGTATAGAGGAACTGGAACGACACTAGATGTCAGATTGCATTCATATGTACAATAACCATATTGTAGATGGAGAGATGATCAAAACATTGGCCATTGCCCATTATCTCCTTCTCAGTCTGTCATCTGATTGGCAATTACTGTAGGCCACTAGAATGCACAGGGCTAGCCTCAAGTTTAGACCATTATTCGCTTCTTGTTGCTCAAAGATGAAACCTTTTTTCTAGGCTTCCCGAACCTTTCTTAGAAATACACATTTATATTCAGAAGTCCACAGATTCATTCTCACGTACCAAGTATCCAGTACCCACAGATTCAATTCTCACAAAAGTTCTATTTCTCTCCACACTCATTTAGCAAGTATAATGAACTCATTTCTGAGATGAACGCCTATAAAGTGATTACAAGATCTCTCAGTCAGTAGATACTTGGTTTGTGAGATTTTAATCTGGGGTAGTTTTTAATTATTTTCTTTAGACAGATTTGGGTTAAAGTATGTAGTTTAGTGTGATGATGTATTAATCACTTTTTTGTTCATGAAATTTTGTAGGTAAATGGTGGTGAATTGGCTTTCATCTCTCTTTTGTCCTGTGAAATTGACTTCAGGTATCTTTATTTGTGTTTCTCTAGTTAGTATTCTGTTAAACTTGACTGCAAGCTTAATTGACAGAATGTAAGTACATTTTATTAATTTCTTCAGAATTTCAAAGTCTTGGCCTTCTCTGCACGATAAAGTGCTTCAAGCAGCTTCAGATGCTGCCAATAACCTCTCTGCAAATCAGAAGAAGAAAGAGGTCTCTTACAAATGATTTTTAAGTTTATTCAGTTGTATATAAAAGATGCAGACTTAGTTTTTATAACTAATTCATCTTATCACAGGCTCGAACCTCTGGAATTCTGGATGGTGTCAGTAAGGGAATTAAGGGAGAAAAAGTGGGAGGTGTTGTCAATCTTACTCAACAATTAGAAATAATATTTTCAAAGGCTCCATTCTCAGACACACTTGATAAAGATATCCAAGAAGCTTTGGAGCTTAACATAGGTTCTACCTCTGTTTTCTTCTCCACTTCGTCTCTCGCCTTCCTATCTCATCATTTTTTTTTTTGGTACAGATGACATTGAAATTGATGAGCCTGTACTTGTCACATCAAGTGCATCAGATCAAGGAAGAAAAGATAGGAAAGGTACATCTGACACTTGTTTTATATATGCTGATGGGCCTTTTGAATATGTGCTGATTCCTATAATGGCAATAATCTTGGTTTGTTTTATAGACAACGAGATGGAGAGGGAAAAACTGTTTCAAGGTGTGACTGTTGATACTAAGCCAAGACTAAGAAAGCCTGAAGAAATCATTGCTAAATATAGGAAAGCTGGGGTATTCTAATGTCACAAAGTTTAACTCTTTATTTAACAAATGGCATTAACTTTTTCTTTCTGACACGCTGAATTGACAATGAATTCTAGGATGCATCTGCAGCAGCCTCCCAGGCAAGAGACAAATTGGTAGAACGCCAGGAAAAACTCGAGGTAGGCATCCTTCCAATATTTAATATTAACGTTATCATATCCCTATCTAAATATCTTTCTATTTAAGTTTGCAAATTACTGGATGTAATACGTTCAAAGTATTTTTAACAAGTTCTCCATTGTCTCTACCAGAGACTCAGCAGAAACACCGAAGAACTTCAAGACGGGGCTCAAAACTTTGCATCAATGGCAAATGAGCTTGTGAAGACAATGGAACGTAGAAAATGGTGGCAGATTTGACCAGAAAGCTCAAATTGCTTTGAAGTTTTTCCGTTGTTTATACCACTCTTGGTTGGCACTGTTGCATTCAATCAAAGGCTTCCCTGTGTGATACTCACAGAATGTCTGTGCCCCATCCAATCAGATAAAAGAAAGATGCAGCAGAGTGTAGGCTGACATATCTGATACTCTGATAGAGTACCATGGCTGAGTTTTACAGAATATATGATGTAAAGAAAATGTAAAGTAACTAACCAATTGGAATTTGTGTCCGGTTCTTTTGTGTCTGGATCTAGAATTGGAATTTGTGTTGTGAAGATCACTGTCAATCTGCCATATCGTAATTGTTTAAGCGTAATGCTTACATAATTTGTGTAATTATTCTTACATTTTTCTCTTTCAACAAAAAATGATTTGGTGAAAAGAGGGATGAGTTATAAGATGCAAATACTGAATATATTTCTGCAGAATAAGAGTTCATTTCAGTATTAAAACCATAAAAGATTCCATATTTCTCTCTTTTTTGCTTGGTCAAGAACTTTAGGCAAGAGCTTAAAGCGAATTAAAGCCCAATGGGCTTGAAAGGTCCAAGACCAAACAAATTAAAAAGATAAATTATTGTTTATCTCTTTCTGTAACGTCTAATCAAAGTTTGTGGGGATCGAATCCACGACCACGTGGTTAAAAGCGACGCGCTCTACCACAGAATAAGGCACTAACTAATTCTTGCCAATGTATAACAAAAACAAAAGTCTACTTTGCCAGCTGCCTAATGTTTCTTCTAAAACCGTTATTTTGAGTCCCTACGTAATCAGTTAACAGAAAAAACAAGAAAATTTCAAAAACAAGTGGTTTACACCTATTTTCACCTGGTCATAGGTTAAAAA